CCGTGACCCACATCGGGAATGGTGCCTTTGTGGGTTGCAGCTCTTTGAGATGGAGGATCTCAAATAGCTCCACCATGCCTGACCCAATATCCTGCAGCGTTAAAGATGCCTGTATATATCCCAGTTGGTTTGCGCCTTTGGACGGAGGAGAGGCTCTCAGGCCCGGACGGGGGGGAGAGAGAGAGGGGGATGGCAGTGGAACGGTGGAGAAGTTTGTGTTTCGGAAAGGTGAAGGTGAAGATGAGATCATCATACCAGCACACCCTGGAGCTGGGATTTCTATTCATAGCTCCGAGAATCAGAGGTGATGAAAGGGGTGTCCGTTAACCACCCCGAGTGTGGGTTCCTGGTACAAGATGGTACAAGAACGTTTCAAGAATGGTTTGTACACCTTCTTACATCTTTGCCAGGTTCTTATTAGGACCACTACTGTACTATTCGGCTTGGTCGTTGAGATGACTTTGACTGGCATTTCCAAAGATCGGGGGGTCGTCATGTTTGCTGGAAGCAAGGTGTGTTTCATACCCAGTGGCGGAGAGTGCAGTCGAAACCTTCAAAGATAGTAAGGTCCTAAGCAGTTATTTATGAAAAGGAACCAACCGATGTTGCGAATGGAAAGGCGTTTAAAGGGGGCGATCCTTTTGTGGAGCAGCCACTTCTTGGATAGTCGCATTGGAGACTAGGCATATCTAGGCATCACCCCAAATTTACCGGACTACTTTTAGCTCTAGCGATCTACCCATTGCATCCTATTTGAACATGAACACAGGGACCATGCTGGTCACCTCTTGCAATCAAAATCAACCAATGAGGGCTTTTTCACTTCTTCAGGATTCTCCCCACCAAAAATCAACATCAAAATTCCCACAAATTCTCCCCACCAAAAGGACAAAGGGCGACGTGTTCTGCATGGTCCCCACGTCTCACGTGGTGTCCTTGCCGCAGGCGCCACACGTGGTGTCCCCGCCCGCGTCGGCGGCGGCGGCGCGCCTGTGGCAGGGTTGCTCAGCGAAGCGACTGTCTCGTTTGTCTCGGCTGTTTATGAGGTGGTTGGTTTTCTTGGCTGACGTGAATAGGTCTAAGATCAGTTTGATCTAAAGTGTATATTCATGTGACCAGTTTTCGGTTTGTTGAACCATTTTTGGGAGCAAAGCTTTTGTTCTCCAAATGTTTCAACAACCGAAACATATTGGGATTTAGTCCGGAAATTCTAGAACATGAGACCGAGGTGCCCAAGCAAAGTCAATCAGGGTCACTTGGACCAATTCATGTTTGCTCACTTGTTTCAGCACTAGCTGTGATGCTCAAATACTGATAGATTGAACTACGTCAAGGTCTTTGAGCCATGGTGAAGAGAATTTCAGTACGGCAGCCGAGTGGTGAAATACTGGTTCTTGAAGTCACGCCTGAGACAACAGGCAAGGAGCTCAAGCAAAAGATCAAGGAGAGAAAGCGTTGGGACGAGCTCACTCGCAGCACTACAAGTGTAGAGATCATTGTCGGAAACAACCGCTTGCTTGCGAACAAAGTAAAGGTATTGGACGCTGGAATTTCTGAAGATACTGTTGTGAGTGTTGTCTTCAAACCAAACAAAGTGATATGCTCCAACAAATATGCAATCACCAGTCTTGGTGGCATTGTCCACCCAGAATTGTTGCTTGTGGTCGAATTTCCAGATGATGAGGCACAGATTTGTGACAGAGCCTTCAAAAATTGCCACACGCTGGCCAAAGTGATCATTCCGGACTCAGTGACGCAGATCCAGTATGCTGCCTTTGCTGGTTGCAGCTCTTTGGTGGACTTGACCGTCCCAAATTCTGTGACCCGCATTGGGGACAAGGCCTTTTATGATTGCAGCTCTTTAGCCAACTTGACCATCCCAAATTCTGTGACCCACATTGGGGGCAAGGCCTTTTATGATTGCAGCTCTTTGGCCAACTTGACCATCCCAAATTCCGTGACGCACATTGCAGAGGAAGCCTTTGCTCGTTGCAGCTCTTTGGTGAACTTGACCATCCCAAATTCTGTGACGCACATTGGGAAGAATGCCTTTTGTGGTTGCAGCTCTTTGGCAAACTTGACGATCCCGAACTCAGTGACGCACATTGGGAATGAAGCCTTTCGGGATTGCAGCTCTTTGGCAAACTTGGAGATCCCAAACTCGGTGACTCACATTGGACATTGTGCCTTTGAAGATTGCAGCTCTTTGGTTGACTTGACCATCCCGGACTCTGTGACCCACATTGGGGACGAGGCCTTTCACGGTTGCAGCTCTTTGGCAAACTTGACGATCCCGAACTCTGTGACGCACATCGGGGTTGGTATCTTTCTCGGTTGCAGCTCTTTGGCAAACTTGACGATCCCGAACTCTGTGACCCACATTGGGGATGGTGCCTTTCAGGGTTGCAGCTCTTTGTGTAACTTGACCATGCCGAACTCTGTGACGTACATCGAGGATTTTGCCTTTTGTGGTTGCAGCTCTTTGGCAAACTTGACAATCCCGAACTCAGTGACCCACATTGGGTTTGGCGCCTTTCGCTTTAGCTCTTTAGCCAACTTGACCATCCCAAATTCTGTGGCCCACATTGGGGGC